GGGGGCGTTATAAAGTTACGGTCAATCCCACTATTCGTTGGTAAAAGAGTAGCCCAAGAGTTGGCGGTGGTTGGTGATGACTAGCTGCCTTCCCTCTAGTCTTACACTGCTAAATTAGGGACGGCTAGCGCAGATAGCCATCGTGTAGCTTTGCGCGAAATTCAAAACAAACAAAAACAAACATCGTTCTAAAAGAACAGAAAGTTCCCGTTGTCCGCTTCTCGTCGTAACAATAGCAACAGTAATATAAAATAAATTCTATATTGAAGCTAGAGTCTTGGTTGTCTCCTGCCGACAGCTGTGTTTTAGACTGATTACAACAGCCTTCAATAAGATTGGACCGTCACACTGAGTCAACTGGATGAAGTGTTCTACCAGAAACCACTGTTTTTCCCATCCCTGATCCTATAACTACGGTTGCGTGTATTCCTAATTGATCACAAAATTGTTCTAATCTTCAACAAGCAGCACGTTGGGGGGGGGGGGGGGCTGACAGCGGGATGCAAAGCCGTCAATTGTGAAGTACGGAGGTGGATATTGTCAAGAGTTGGAAATGAATTTTCACCCCTTCTAGATCGACTCTTTCCCAAACTATTCAACCTGATCTGAAGTGTTAACACAGAGATTTTATAACATAAAAATACAATATTATTTAATTATGAATGCATTACAATGTTTGCATTGAAAACATAAAATTCTAATAATAACAATAATGAGGTTAAAATCATGTGACGCGCTGCAACACACTGACCAATTCTTAATGGATTTTTGAAAATTTAATTCTAAAAAATTATTACATGATAATTATATACATAGAATGTTTAATCATTTCGCGTTTCATACATTTAAAGTAACTGAAAGTTTCAAGTTGAAACTAGACTAGTATTGTTTATAATTACTTATACATTTTACAAGTTCATTCTTATTAAAAAGTCGAGCTAAGCAATAATATATCAAAAATATTAAAATAAAATCAAATATTGTAAAATGAATTTATCTAATTCCAACTTGAATACATCTTCCGATAATGAGTTCCCTTTAGGATACTATTGCACATACAAACACCAAAAACGAAACGCTTCAGTCCTTATAAGGAATTTATAAACTCTATCAAGCAACTAAAATTATGTCTAGAAATATGTATGATTTTCCTCTGATCAAGCTGTGGATAATACTGACTGTTTTCTTTCCTCTGATTAAGTTGTGGATAGCACTGACCGTTTTCTTTCCTTGATTAAGCTGTGGATAATACTGACTGTTTTCTTCCTTGATTAAGCTGTGGATAATACTGACTGTTTTTTCTTTCTTCTGATTAAGCTGTGGATAGTACTGAACGTTTTTCTTTCCTCTGATTAAGTTGTGGATAGTACTGACCGTTTTTCTTTCCTCGGATTAAATTGTGGATAGTACTGATCGTTTTTCTTTCCTTGGATTAAATTGTGGATAGTACTGACCGTTTTTCTTTCCTCTGATTAAGCTGTGGATAGTACTGACTGTTTTTCTTTCCTCTGATTAAGCTGTGGATAGTACTGACTGTTTTTCTTTCCTCGGATTAAGCTGTGGATAATATTGACTGTTTTTTCTTTCCTCTGATTAAGCTGTGGATAGTACTGAACGTTTTTCTTTCCTCTGATTAAGTTGTGGATAGTACTGACTGTTTTTCTTTCCTCTGATTAAGCTGTGGATAATACTGACCGTTTTTCTTTCCTCTGATTAAGCTGTGGATAATACTGACCGTTTTTCTTTCCTCTGATTAAGCTGTGGATAATACTGACCGTTTTTCTTTCCTCTGATTAAGCTGTGGTAATACTGACTGTTTTTTCTTTCCTCTGATTGAGCTGTGGATAGTACTGACTGTTTTTTTCTTTCCTCTGATTAAGCTGTGGATAGTATTGACCGTTTTTCTTTCCTTTGATTAAGCTGTGGATAATACTGACTGTTTTTCTTTCCTTTGATTAAGCTGTGGATAATACTGACTGTTTTTCTTTCCTCTGATCATGCTTCTCAGTGGCTCAGTGTTAAGTCTGGGGACTTGTAAAGCTAAAAATGGGTTTCGATACCGATGGTGGAGAGAGCACAGATAGCCCAGTGTGTAGCTTTATACTTAACAATAAACAAGCAAACCTTCTGGTTTTCAGTTCTATATTAGGGATGGCTATGCCTAAATACTAGAGGTATCGGACTCGGTTATATGTCGCGTAAGGTGCCATTAAGATAAAAAATATTAAAATATATAAATATTTACAGTCGCTTGCATTGTCATAGTTATAATAGTTACATACATACCAATTTTCAACACAGGGTTCGTTTGAGTAACAAATTGTGACCCTTTCAGTGTTTCCTCAGTTTGAATTACGTCATCAGTTGTAAAGCAAGGGTCTGAAAGACCTTGAGGCAAGATTTTCTGTGGGTTGTCCCTCCCTGTTCTCCCACAATCACGCTCGTTCAATAATATTTACTGATGTAGCTAATTTGATATATACAAACAAAGAGCACTGAGACGCAACCGTTCTTCATATTTTAATACGTAAACATCACATTTACTAAATTCTAACACAGAATCACCAAACCTTCTGTTTTAAATTCATAAATCGCTCATCACACGTAGTGGTAATTCGACTGGATTTTATCTTTAGGATCAATATTTATTAAACAAACTTTCAACGCTTCTCTTAAAAACTGATTTGTCTCCAGAAGTGTACGCCCCCCCCCCCCACTGGCACAGCGGTATGTCTGCGGACTTACAACGCTAGAAACCGGGTTTCGATACCCGTGGTGGGCAGAGCACAGATAGCCCTTTGTACAAACAAGTGTACAATATTATTGATAAAAGTTATGATAAATGCTCTTCAATCGTTTACATTTTTTAAATTACACTGCCTCCCACTACTGTCGTAGCAATATATTTTATTATTTATCGTTTATTATTTTGGTATA